AGCAGTGTAAGACTAGAGGGCAGGCAGCTACTCATCACCACCCACCGCCAATTCTTGGACTACTCTTTTACCAACGAATAGTGGGATTGACCGTGACATTATAACGCCTACACGGCTGAAAGGGCGAGCATGTTTGGTGTGACATGGGATTCGAACCCGCGACCCTCAGATTGCGAGTCGAGCGCCCTCTAGCCACCTGGCCATGCCGGGCCATATAAGTACACCGGGGTGGAATGATCTATACACATCTATATATTTGAAGTAAACACCAAGCAGTTTTACTTGTCGTATTGGAATCCATCTTTGAAAGAAGGTTAAGAAACACCTAAGTAAATAATTTAACATCAAATAACGTTTTCTTGGATAGATTGTTTAGGCAGAGTATTCATGATGAAACTTATTTGAACTGACGGCAACTGGCTGTTGTAGAAACCCGAATATATAGATTAAGAAACACTTAAAATAAATGGTTTAACATAAAATACGTTATTTCGCGGATTTATAATGATGTTAACATGCTGTTAAACAGCTAGACCTTTTATGTGGTCTAAAGTTAATTAAAGATGTGTTTATTTTTTTGAGCGAAGTCACACAATGGACTATCTACCCTACGTCGAGCTGGAGCCCCTTATGAGGCCAAAAACGTATTGCCGAGCCACTGGGGGCATATAGGAAGAAAAAACACGCACACACATATTAGAATGGAACAAGTTAATTCAAAGCAGAATTTTATTTCAAAAATAACATTACCGTGAACTACAATGTACAAAATATGGAGTTTGAAATATAATTTTCTGATCTGACGACATTTATGAGATTGTTGACTCCGTCGTTGGTTGTGGTGTGGTAAATCTTGCATTAGAACTTTCATAGATACTTTCCGCTTGGTCACAAGGAAACGCTTCTGTTTCATATTTACAGACGAGATCCTGCTGATCGAAAATGGTGTTGTTGTCACATATGAAGCTTGAGAAGGACAAGTCGGGAACACAACGATGGAAAATTTTACAGCCATTGTCGGTGTCGGCGTAATAACCTTCCATCCTACCAGCGCAGCTAAAAGTTTTGTTGATCTGGGCTCCATCAAGGATACTGTCTGTTTCACCTGGCAGGTCGTAAAGATCTCGTGCAACTCGAGGAGCCATCATGACCACAGCAAAGATACTGGTTAGAACAAGGATGCGTTGGTACATTTCGGAGGTTAAGGTGTTAAGTAAGATCCTGAGACAAACATAGAAATATGAATCTCTATAAGGCAACCTTTTTTATGTATACTAACTCATTCTATTTAAGTTTCTTTACTTTCTGTATTCCGTGAATATATACATTTTTCAAGCGTTTAACATATGATGTAATGAATTGTGCACAATATTAATTCTGTAGTTGTACACCAACACTAAACCTTATTATAAAATAATACAATTTTTAACCTCTGACAATTTTACATTACAAAGCTTATTCATCTATCATGTCAAAAGAACTAGGCTTATAGGGAAACACCTTAACCTCCGAAACGTACCACCGTGTCGTTGTTCTATCCAGTATCTTTCCCTTACCTAAATTGATTCATATTTCTATGTTTGTCTCAGGATCTTACTTAACATCTTAACCTCCGAAACGTACCACCGTGTCGTTGTTCTAACCAGTATCTTTGCTTTGCCTAAATTGATTCATATTTCTATGTTTGTCTCAGGATCTTACTTAACATCTTAACCTCCGAAACGTACCAACGAGTCGTTGTTCTAACCAGTATCTTTGCTTTGCCTAAATTGATTCATATTTCTATGTTTGTCTCAGGATCTTACTTAACACCTTAACCTCCGAAATGTACTACCGTGTCGTTGTTCTAACCAGTATCTTTGCTTTGCCTAAATTGTTAAGTGATAGTGTGAGGTGGTTCATTGCCTTGACCAGAGGGAAAATAAACATTCTGGTAGGGCACAACTCCTTGTAGTGTGTGGTACGTCCTCCTGGCGAAAGTCAATAAATAGACCATCGTTACATCACCAGTATCGAGCTGATCACGTGATAATTGTCCACTTTCACTATAAAAACAGCTACCACAGTGGCTAGAGATATCGTCTCAACATTTTCCTGAAGGTAAGTCATATTCTTCTACCTCATGGTTTTAATGAAAGCGAGAGTTAAGGTCTTTTTCGCGATCGTGACTTAGAGTAGTTAGCGAGAATTAAGATAATATCGTGGTTTAATTCAATAGGCTAAAGCTATGATAATTTCACGAACATGATTCAGTTTAGTTACTATAGTTTTTCAATGCTCATTCGACATATTTTTGGTCTATTAAAACTACCGACTTAAGCCTAACATAATGTAACGGGATAACATCTACACGTGCACACAGAAAATTCTGTTGACCCTTGTACACTTTGGCCTGGGCAGCAGAAATCATTTATAACGTGTCCGAAGATTACATGGTCACTGGGACTTTGGTTAGTCTGTATTTAGACAAGTTACAACAAACCATTGATAATATTAGAAGTTGTTAACAGTATTGACCAAATAACAACAGCAGAGGTGATGTCCGTTTTACACAATAGATAAAATGACTTACGTATGATATATACGTATATATAAGTCAATTACTTTCTATTTTATACACGCATGCTTTTTTTTTCGTAAAAAAAAGATCAAGCTTATATCATATTTGAAATTCGTCTCGATAAATTGACATTGCTGTATTGAAAACAACATATCAAATTCACCTAGATAAGTTGATGCTGTTCTAGTGAGCATAACATATTAAATCCATCTAGATAAGTTGATACTGTTGTATTGAATATATCAAATCCATCTAGATAAGTTGATACTGTTGTATTGAATATACCAAATACATCTAGATAAGTTGATACTGTTGTATTGAACATATCAAATCCATCTAGATAAGTTGATACTGTTGTATTGAACATATCAAATCCATCTAGATAAGTTGATACTGTTGTATTGAACATATAAAATCCATCTAGATAAGTTGATACTGTTGTATTGAATATACCAAATACATCTAGATAAGTTGATATTGCCGTATTGAACATATCAAATACATCTAGATAAGTTGATACTGTTGTATTGAACATATCAAATCCATCTAGATAAGTTGATACTGCCGTATTGAACATATCAAATCCATCTAGATAAGTTGATATTGCCGTATTGAACATACCAAATCCATCTAGATAAGTTGATACTGCCGTACTGAACATATCAAACCCATCTAGATAAGTTGATACCACCGTATTGAACATACCAAATCCATCTAGATAAGTTGATACTGCCGTATTGAACATATCAAATCCATCTAGATAAGTTGATACTGCTATATTGAACATATCAAATCCATCTATATAAGTTGATATTGCCGTATTGAACACATTATTTAAACTACATTAACACGATAACACAATAGTTTGTTTATTTTAACACTTGAAGAAAAAAAGAGTGCAAAACTGTCTTCTTACTTTGGATGATATTTTAGGCCCGATAAAAGGGCCTAAAATAATAAACAAAGTTCCTTACTAATCACCCATCTCATACTTTCTTCAGTGAACAAACTCACCACAAACCCTGGTGTTGATCTTTATAACAAATACTTTCCAAAATAAAACGAAGTATTATTTTGTAAAAATAATTAATATGTATATATATATAGCTTCTATATGTAAAGCATGTAACCAAGGGCACAGGAGATGTTATAGGACTAATATTAATATCGTTTGGTTGTTTGGTTCAGAATTTTTGCGAAAAGTCAAACAAAGGGTTCCCTTAACATAGCCGACACACAATTTGAACTGATAGGCTAGAGAGAAGGCAGCAAAAACACTCACCGCCAACGTTTGGGCTACTCTTTTCTGACAGAATAGTGGGATTTGAATGTCACTCTTAATGCCCCCCAACGGCCCCAAAATGCGGTACACGTTTTTGTGGCAACAGAGGGTGAAACTTGAATCCTCTGATTTCACAGTTTTAACATGCAAACAACTAGACGACATCCAGCCAATATCTACAAAAAAATTAAATTATATTATTATAACGAGCTGTGTGTGTGTGTGTGTGTGAAATGTCTGATATATTATATGAATGTAAATGGAATTTAGAAAAAAAAAACAACACGA